GATTTTTTTTTTAAATAGTAGCAATTCTCCTGGGGGTGAGGTGGTAGCTCATCATGGTTTCAATTTGTATTTCCATAATGATCAGTGATTAAGCATCTCCTTATGTACTTATTGGCCCTTTGTGTATCTTCTTTGGATGAATATCAAGTCCTTTGCCCATTTTGTTTTGTATTTTTCGTGACCGGTAAGGGGATCACAACCCCCGGCGTGGTGTCGCCCACACCGCACTCAGCCAGTGAGCGCATGCACCGGCCAGTCCTATATAGGATCTGAACCCGCGGCGGGAGCGTCGCTACGCTCCCAGCACTGCACTCACCCGAGTGTGCCACGGGCTTGGCCCTTTTGCCCATTTTTAAATCAGATTATTTGTTTTCGTTGTTGTTGAGGTGTAGATATTCTTTATATTCTGGATACTATACCCTTAGGATATATTCGATTTGCAAATACTTTCTCCCATTCTGTGAGTTGCCTTTTCACTCTGTTGAATGTGTCCTTTAATGCACAGCAGTTTTTAATTTTTATGTAATCCAATTTATCCTTTAAAAAAAAATTATCTGTGCTTTTGGTGTCATATCCAGGAGATCATTGCTAAATCCAACACCATGAAGCTTTTCCTGTATGTTTTCTTCTAAGAGTTTTATAGTTTTAGTTCTTATGTTTAGGTCTCTGATCTATTTTGTGGTAACATTTGTATATGATGTAAGGTAAGGGTCCAACTTTGTTTTTTTACATGTGAATATCTGGTTTTCCCAACACCATTTGTTGAAAAGACTGTCCTTTCCCCATTGAATGGTACTGACACTATGGTCAAATCTAATTTGACTGTATAAGCAAGGATATAATTCTGGGTTCTTTATTCTATTCCATTGATCTGTATGTTGATCTGTATGTCTGTCCTTATGCCAGCAGGACACTCTTTTGATTACCGTAGCTTTGTGAAAAGTTCTGAAATCAGAGAATGTGAGTCTTTCTCCTTTTCCAGTTTGTGTGTGTGAGTGCGTGTGTGTGTGTGCGTGTGTGTGTGTGTGTGTGAGTGAGTGTGTGAGTGAGTGTGTGTGAGTGTGTGTGTGTGGCTATTCTGGGTCCTTTGAGATTCCATGTCAGCTTTAGGATGAATTTTTATATTTCTGCTAAAAAATGCTGTTGGGATTCTGATAAAGATTGCATTAAGTCTGTAGATCACTTTGGGTAGTATTGACATCTTAATATTATTGAGTTTTCTCATCCTGATCTCTGGATATTTCTTTTCTCTCATTTGTAGTTTTACATCTTTGTTTCATTCCCCTCCTCTCCCTCCATCTTGCATCCTCTGGTCTCCACCGTTTGGCACAGAGAGGAAGGAATTGAGAGTAGTTCCACATTACTATTTGTTCCTGTCATCCATAATTCAAACAGGAAATCGTCACGCTCCCAGCTAGGGCACAGCAGGTGCACAGTGAATAGTACTGTAGCAGTTGAGGGTAAGGAGGTCCCAGAGCTGTGCCAGTCTGAAGCGACTTCTTGCATGTCATTGTTCTCTACCTTTGTTTTAGGTCGAAGAAAACATTCATGGATGCTGCCTACATTTTCTCCCTGCAACTCAATCCTCAATACACGAAAAATCAAATGTTACCACGTTGCTGTCTTCAATATCACCAAGGACCTCACAGACAAATTTCAGAGACTTCTACAAGTCTTTATTAAAATCAGTGCTGACAATGACAAAAAAATTTAAATTTTAATAAAGGGCTCATTCTTCCAAAAACTCTACTTAAAACTAAGCTATAAATATTCTCATTTACCTGGTAAAAGAGTTTATATTAATAATATCCAGGGTTTTTTTCCTGACCCACTTGCAAGATGTGATATGATGCCCCATCCCCTCAGGTACTTAGTGTTTCTTACAAGGAAGGACATTCTTATTCTTACAGCACAATCATTAAAATAAGGAACATTAGTGTTGGCACATCACTGTAACTTAATCCTCAGAGCCACTCAAGTTGCCCTGGGAGTTCTTTCAAAATTATCTAGTTCCAAATCACACGCTGCTTTTAGTTGTCGTGTCATTTTAGTCTTCTTTGATTTGGAAAAGCTCCTGAATCTTTCCTTGATTTTCATATCTTTGATACTTTTGATGACTACTCGGTTATATGATTTGTACAATGACCCTAAATTGGTCTGGTATTTCATCATAATTAGATTTAGACCATGAATCTTTGGCAGGAAAACCACAGAAGTGATGACAGTGTCCTTTTCATCTTATCCTCTTAGGTGGACGTGTTTGATTTTTCCTATTACTTTGATCACTTGTACTAATGTGCTGTCTGCCAGGCTTTTCCACTGTAAAGCTATTCACTTTTTCCCCTTTGGAATTAATAAGTAATTTGCAAGGAGGTACTTTGAAATTATGCAAATATCACATTCCTCATCATATTTTAAGTTTATTCATTCACTTATTTAAATTAGTATAGACTCACAGTTTCTTATTTTATGTAATAATTGTAATAACATTACTGTCATTTATTTTGAAGCTCAAATTGTCCCTGATTTGGCCAATGGGAGCCCCTTCAGTCTGGCTTATGTGTCCTTCCGACACATTCCCATCATTGTTTGTATTTCTTTACTTTTTGGTACAGTAAGATGTCTCAGGCTCATCTTGTATCTTTCCTGCCTTTCTACAAGGAACCTGATTCATTTCAGTGGTCAGTGATGTTTAGAAGCCAATGTCTGGTTGCTAGGGGCACCTGTTGCTGCTGGGGTGCCACTGCCTCCAGGCTTCTCAGTGGGCAGAGCTAGGAAGTGTGTGTGTGTGTTTGCACATACATGTACACACACGTTTACATCTATATTTCTTCATCTCTGTATACTGAGATGCCTGACACCTCCAATTTCAATTCAGAGTCACGGGGTTCATTCCTGTTTTGTCTATATTGGTAACTCCCTTCCTCAATGGTAAGAAACCTGGCCCTCCTTGTCCTTAATATTTGCTTATTTGACCAGTCCCTTGTATGTAACCAATCTCCCATTGCAGCTGCCACACCTACCCCCCGGTGGCTCTCATTTTCTGGCTTGAACTCTGGTGCCCCGCCCATGCTGTCCTTTCATGAGGACATGGCTCAGCCTGCTCCTACTTCACCCCTGTGTCAGGCTTGCTGTGGGGATGTCCTCTACCCTGCCTGGGCTCCAACACGCTGCTCTTTCTCACTTTGGCTCCTCCAATGTCTTCATGACTAAGTTGTCTGGAAAGGTGAACAAGAGGAAGGTGTAAAATCCTGGTCTTCAGCATTAAAAATATATGGTCTCTTTACTACACCATGTTTCCTGTCTACTGTATTGTCTCAGGTTGTGAGGCAGAGAATGAGCAGTCGGCCCTCCAGAAAACGCTGCAGTGTGAAACCATGGTGGACGGTATCAGTGACCAACAGGAGATGTCGACAATGACCCAAGCTTGAAAAAACTTACTAAGGTGTTAGCATACTAGAGAAATGTCATGGACATCTTTGCACAAGTTCTATCTATGAATGTGGCATGTGGGAAAGCCCTTGGTCACAGCTCTGATCTTATTCAACACCAGAGATAAGCCCTAGAAGTGTAACAAATGTGGGAAGGCCTTTGTTCGAAGATCTAACCTAATTACACATCACAGAATTCATGCTGAGAAAAACCCTGTGAATGTAAAAAACGCACAAGTGCGTTTATGCAGGGATGATCCTTACTAAACACCAGGGAGCTCACACTTGTGAGCAACCAGACACATGTAAGTAATGCGGGAAGGCGTTCAGCAGCACCCAGCCTTTATTCAACATCTGAGAGTTCACACAGGGAAGAAATCTTATGAATACGCCATGTAGTGAATTGAATTACGTCCCCCCAAAACTCCCTGAAGCTTGAATTGTGTCCCCCAAGTTTTATGTATTAGAAACTTGGCCCCCACTGTGACTGTTAAGAGGGTGGGAAATCCTATTATGGTAATTGAAAGGTGGAGCCTTGAAGAGGTGATTGGATTGTAGGACCCTGCAGTAGTAAATGGGTTTAAAATGGTGGTCAGGGGCGTGGTTCTGAGGGTTTTAAAAGAAGAGGAGAGAGTCTGTCTTTCTCTTTCTGCTCTCTTTGCTTCCACCATCTTGCAATGTGAGACCCCTTGGTCACTGTCATCACTACCAGATGGACTTTGGACTTCCCAGCTTCAGAAACTGTAAGCAATAGATTTCAATTTCTTTATAAATCACCCAGTTTCAGGGCCGGCCCGGTGGTGCACTGCTACAGTGCGCCGCTTGGGAGTGTGGTGGCACTCCCGCCGAGGGTTCGGATCCCACATACAGACCGGTTCCCGCTCACTGGCTGAGCGAGGTGTGGGGGCAACACCGAGGGTTGCGATCCCGTTGCCGGTCCCGGTCCGGTACGGGCGCGACACTGAGGGTTGCGATCCGTTGCCGGACACGAAAAAAGACAAAAAGGAAAAAAAAAAAATCACCCAGTTTCAGGTATTCTGTTACAGAAACACAAAATGACTAATACAACTGCATGTGCAAACGTCTTCGATCTCAGCTCTCCCCTACTCACCATGGAACAGCAGACTGGTGGATGCAGCGCATGAATGTGGTGAAGACAATTGCTAAAGGCCATTTACATCACAAAAGAGACCAGGCCTTAGAGTGGTATTGTTACCAGACTGGCTGCCCGCCCCTTTGAAGTGGAAGGAAAAAAACCTCAGAAGTCAAACGGTTGGTGTTAGAAAAGCAGATGTATTCAGCTGAAGGAGATGGTAGGCTGTCCCTTCTCAAAGATTTACATTTACTGAGGGGTTTTTAAAGGGAGGCTTAAGGGAATGGAATGTGGGAGGTGAAAGCGGGAGAGCAGGAGATGTGAGTTACGAGGAGTCTGTTTCTATGGGTCAGGTATGAGCTCTTGCTGTGGCCTCCTCTGGTTTCTGTTCTCATCTTCGCTGTTATCTCAGGACCCTGCAGGATTTTGATTTGCTCCGGTACACTTGGCTGGTGCCCAAGGTCAGCTTTAGTCATCTGGCCTTGATCATTTCTCAAAACTCTACAAGTCTCAAAGAAAGAACTGTTAGCTTTGCAAGTACTAATTAGCTTCTCAGCCTTGTTTTCCTACTTAGCGAGCAAGATAAGAGAGTCAGGAGATGGGAAGCAAGAGTGGAGAAAAAAAAATGTCCTTTCAAAAATCCTCCCCCCTGCTTGTCAGCCCAGGCAGCTTTAGGTCCCAACATGGCTTTGGTCATGCTCACTCCAACAGTATAAGTTCCCCCAAGACATGACTGCTATGTGCTATGACCAGAAATTACATTCTCTTGTGCTGGTTTTAGCTGGAAAACAGTGAATGCTTTTCTGAAATAGTAATCTGGTCTTGTTTCTCTCTGCTTAAATCTTTTAATTATTTCACACACCTCATGTTAGCATTTTTCAAAGCTGCCTACACACATATTCCCAGCAGCAGCAGCAAGTAAATGAACATCCCCAGGGAGCCTGGGATCAAGGGAGCAGGAAAGCAGGAGGGAACAGCAGTGAACTGGGTAAGTGGCAGGTCTTGTAAAGGTCACTTTCAGAGCAGACCTCACTCCCCTTAAGGGAAAAGGCAGGTTTGTGCCAAGGGGCCAGAGTGGAACAGGCATCTGTGGGGTGTACCTGGAACGCCTCCAGGTCTTCTGCTGAGTTGGCCCTAGTGACTGTGATGTTTCTGCAATGCAAAGCAAGTACCTGGTAATTGGGGTGGCCAACTGTGTTAGCTAATTGCCTTTATCCGTAGTAAAAACAAACTTTCTCATATCTCTATGACAAGCAGGTAATCACAACTTGGTGCCAGGCACCTGGGCTAAACTCACACATTGACAGGAAGGGGTGCTAGCATCCTGGACCTGAAGTGCTTAAGAAAAACATTCCTGGGTTGTAAAATTGGCAAGAGTCTCATTTACCTTTTTTTTTTTTCCTTTTTGTCTTTTTTACTGACCGGTAATGGGATCGCAACCCTCGGTGTTGCGCCCGCACCGCGCTCAGCCAGTGAGCGGGAACCGGTCTCCACATGGGATCCGAACCCTCTGCAGGAGCGCCGCCGCGCTCCCAAGTGCTGCACTCTCCAGTGCGCCACCGGGCCGGCCCTCATTTAGCTTTTAAAAAGGTTTACATACATCTCAAAGGAACAGAGAAGAATTTTTCTATTACAAAGCCATCTAAAGGAAATAGTCAAAGAAAAGGGAAAAGGGGAATCTCTTTTCTGAACACCAGAGAAAATAAACATTTTTTAAAAAAAGAAAATGTAATTTTATTAATATTATTTTTTACATCTCAGGATGTTGTTGCAGTGCAGTTGGGAGGGAGGGGAAAGGGGAAGGAAATGGGATGGAAGAAGGAGGAAGGAGGAGGGCTGGGATTGAGGCCTGTGGCACCCCTCTCATTCCCACAGGGGAGACCAGGGGGCTTCCAGCAGTGGCTTGGTCATTGCTGAGCTGGGTGCAGATGTCGGGGGTGTGGCTGAAGCCCTTGCCTCCCACCATCCCAGCTGGGAACCTGCTGCGGCTTGGTGGTTGTCACTGGGCTGGTTGCACCAGTCAGGGGAGCGTGGCTGAGGCCCAAGGTCCCACACTGCCCTAGCTCAGGACAGCCTGGGGCGCTTCCTGCTGCAGCTCCAGAGAAAATAAACTTTTAAAAAAGATTTGTACTTTTTTTTTTCTTTATTTTTCATCCTTTTAAAGATTTGTACTTTTTAAAACAGATTTGCCCTCAGTCACACGGCACATCTTCTGAAATCTTAATGTTCTCACTGTCCAGCTGAATGTGGAGGTAGAGATAACCCCCAACCTTTTTGGTAAACAAAACCAGGTGCTTAAGACCTTCCGTCGCCAGAAGATTAGGACTTTCCGCTGCCAGGGGGAAGGGACTTTCCAAAGAGCCCAAAGTTCACCCTGTTCCAGGAAGGGAGTATGCTCACCTGATTATCTTATCTGTGGACACCAAGGGAGGAAAGAGGGGGGGTGGACCGTTGGTCAATACCTCAGTCCTTCCTTTGCCCGCCAAAAGCTAAAAGCCCAATGGTTTTAAAAATTGCTTAAAGTGGCCAGTAAACGGTGTACAACCAAGCCTGTTACCAAAGCCTGCCTACCAAACTGTATAAAAGATGCTTGAGTTAAGAGCTTGGGGCCGCTCCTGTCCTGAAAACGGGGCGACCTTCAGCATGTTGAAAATAAAAACCTCCTGCGTTATTGCATCGAACTCTGTCTCCTGGTCTTTGTGAGATGAGCCTTCCCCACAAGTAAGATTTGCGCTTTTGGCCCAGTCTTACACTGAAGACAGGTGCGTTAGTCTGTTCCTGAAACTGGGTAGTTTATGAGGAAATGAAATTTTTTCCTTACAGTTTTGGAGTCTGGGCGGTCCGAAGTCCAGGGAACACATCTGGTGAGGGCCTTCATCTGAGTGGGAAGTCCACAGCAGTCTGTGATGACCAGGGTGCCACATGTGAGGGCAGGCTCAGCAGGAGCACGCAAGGCGTCACTCACATCCTTCCAAGTCCATCAGAGCCCGGCCCACGACCACCCCAAACTGTGGTGGAGTACACCATGCACAATCTACTCCCCTCCTGAGGCCCACCTTCCAAACACCAAAAGGGGTTCCCCACCTCTTAACATGTACAATGGAGATCAAGTTTCCAACACACGAACTTCCGGGGGCACATGTAACCCACAGCAAAGGCTGCCCCTTTCCCGTCCATTCCAGTGGGCCCCTCCCTCACCTCCTTTGACTGTCTCCAGAGCCTGTCATTCTCCCCTGACCCCTCCTCCCCACTTGACCCCGGCCCCTCCGCCCACGCCTGCCCTGGGCCGCCCTGCACACGCGTTTCGGCACCAGCGGCTGGTTTCCTGACTCCAGCTGCCCGCACGGGTCTTGTGCCTCGGCTTCCTCGTGTACGACGCAGGGACGAGAACGCAGGCCCTCCTGGGATGCTGTGAGGATTAAGTGACCTAACACGCGTGAAGCGTTTGGATCAGCGCGAGGCGTTTAGATCCAGAGTGGGCGCGAGCTCAATTCCCATCCCGATGGGGACGAGGGGAGAAGGCGCCCGAGGGAGGCGCGTGCTGCGCGGCGCGCGGTCCCGGGAGGTGAAGGGCGGCTGCTGCGGGCCGGGCCTCCCGCCTTGCCCACCGCGCCCCGCCGGCGGAACGATCGCGCCCACTCACCAGCAGGTGCCGCCGGAACGCTCAGACCGACCCTCCGGAAACGGACCGCGCCGCCTAGAGCGGATGAATGGCACCCTGCGATCCGATTGGCCGCTGAGTGGGGGGCGGGGCGGAAGTGAGGTGGGCGTTTCCGGTCCCGTGGGTCTGGACCGCGCGCTCCTTCCCTCCCGTGGCCGAGCTGAGTGAGTCCCGGCCCGAGGCGGGGAGGCGCGTAGGTCCCCGCGCCGTGGCCTTGGGCCGCGCTCTCGGGACACTGAGGCAGGGCAGCGGTTGGGTAGAGAGGCCCCTTAGAGGAAGGTAGTTGGGATGGTGGGGGGACCGGCGTCCTTCAGCAGGAGTGGGTGAAGTGACAGCCACGTCGTGGCGGAGCCGCGCCGCGCGGGCCTCGGGGCTGGGAAGGGACGGAGGCCGGCGCTGGCGTCGCACCTCCGCGGGACACGGCCGGCGTTCGCGCGTCCGTGCGGCAGGCGCGCGGAAAACGGGCTTGATGGGGACGGTCGGGACTCCTTGTCTGTGGTTGGCGGGCGCTGAGTTGAGCAGCTTCTGTCGGTTCTCATTTGACTCTGAAGACAGACCCGTGAGGTAAGGGTGGTCTGTGGAGGATTCGAGTCCCTTCCCCGAGACCCCCCGGTCGGGAGGTGGGGTATCCGGGCTGGAGCTCAACCCTGCCGGCGGCAGCGTGGCCCGCCTCCCCGGTGAGCCCGGCACGAAGGCAGCATGAGGGGCCGGTGGTGCACAGCAGGGCCCAGGTAAGGGCGGGCGCTGGCCCGGGCTGCCTGTGACCCGGGCAAAAGCGTCACGCGTGCGGTGGACGGGCCGCCAGTCAGCTTGGGCTCGGCTGCCAGTCACGGACGATCTGTCCCACAGAAGCTTAAGTGCTGAAGATGGGGCAGACAGGGTTTGTTCTGGGATGTCGGGGCTCCAGAATGTGTCTCCAAGGTTCTGTGGCTTTTCCTGGTGGCCACTCAGGACGGGTGTTTCTCCTGGTTTCCTTTTTATCATGGAGCAGGAGAAGTCCTTCCTAGAAGACTCTTGGCAAACTTCGCTAACATCTCGTTGACCAGAACTGGGCATTGCGGTCACCTAGGGACAAGGGAAAAGGGCACATTTCTTCCTGAACTAAACTAAGTGGTCTGTTAGCATGGAGGGGATGAGGGGGTGTGTCTGGCGGTGTGTGCAGAAGCCCATTGGGAAGGTTTTCCTTGGAGTGAAATCTTATGTCACTTGTCAACGCTAAAATAAAACCAGATCCGTGGTTTTAAATGTTATCTTTATACTGATAATTCCCAAAGTATACCCAGTCAGCTTCAATCTCTCTCTTGAATTTTGGACTTAGGTATCAAAATAACCTTATTTTGTACTTGGAAGTCTAATAGGTGTCTTAAATATAACATGTACAAAATAACTTTTGATTTTTATTCATCAGATAAATGGAAATTTAATAATTTCAGTTGTTCAGGCCCCAAATCTTGGTATCTCATCCTAAATGTAATTCATCAGCAGGTCCTATTGCCTGTGCCTTTGAAATGCGTCCAGAATCTGACCACATCTCATCATCTCTGTCATCACCATTCTGGGCCAAGACACTGTTATCGTCTAGTTGGATCGTGGCTCGAACCTTCCAACTGGTTTTCCTGCTTCCACTACACCCACCCCACCCATCTGTCCTCGGAGCAGCAGCTGGAGAGACCACAGACCTTGCAGACAGTTCCCCTCATGTCCAGTGTAAAAGCCACAGCACTAAGGCCTGTGAGGCACCCGCCCTCCTCTCTTGCCCTCCCATACCCTGCTTAGCCCCTCTGGCCCCTTGCCCTTCCTCGAACACATCAAGTAGACCTGCACCTCAGGCTCTTTGCACTCCTGCCTGCCCCTGCCTGGGATTTGCCTCCCTGATAGCCACTGGTGCCTGCCCTCAGGCCGTCCAGCTGTTCTTCGATATGGCTTTATCAGAGGTGCTTTCCCTGGCCGTCCTGTGTAAAATGTCTCCTCCCACCAATTGCTGCCCTCATGCTGCTTTATACCTTTTGTCCTTTGTCATCACCCAATGAGGCGTTGTGTCTGTCAGCCTCACCATTCACTTATGCACTGCCTCAGGGCAGGAGCCTAGTCTGCTTGTCCTGAGCTGTTTGCCCACTGCCCAGGACCTTGTAGGTGGACCTGAGAGATGCAGCGCATTGTCTCCCCAGGCCAGGTGCAGTGCCAGGGTCCTTGCTTTCACATGGTGGCCTTGGGATGCTGTTGTACCAGGTACTTCAGGGAGGCCCTGCTCTGGAGTTGCAGGGGTTGGGGGCAGGGAAGTAGCGAGGGGATATGGTCTCAGAGGCTGCTGGGTGCCTAGTCCATCCACTCTTCCTGGGGTTTTCAGGAAGTTTATAACCGAGTCTCTGTTGTCACAGACCTCTTGAGGTCCAGCCCAGAAGTCTCAGGAGCTGTGGGGAGCAGACAGTTGGTCAAGCTCCATCACACTCTTCCCTCTCCTTGAAGCTCTGTCCATCTCCTCAGGACAAGCTCAGAGACCTAGTGATGGCTGTCCAGCAGCTCCTTCCTGGTGGGCTCCAGGTGAGTGGTCCTCTGTGTGGCATCAGCCCTTTCTTGGTGGGAGTCTCTGGTCCCAGAGGGAAGATAGCTCCCTCTCTCCACTGATATCCTCAGCGCCTGAGTTCACATCTCTGAAATGTGCTCCACACCTTGTTTTTCCCAGTCCCTGTACCAGGCAGGGTTGGGGCAAAACAAGATGAGGGAATATGGTGTCTGCGTAAAGGAGCTCACTCTGGTGGGGAAGATGGGTACATGTGTTCAGAGGGATTTTGCAAGTCCTGAGCCTAGTGCCTCCTCCATCCAGGGCCCAACCTGGGCCTGACACTGGGGCTGCTGCATGATCTTGTCATTCCAGGTCTTGGTTTCCTTTGAGGATGTGGCTGTGTTCCTCTCCCGGGAGGAGTGGGGCCGTCTGGGCCCCACTCAGAGGGGCCTCTACAGGGATGTGATGCTGGAGACCTATGGGAACCTGGTCTCACTGGGTAAGTTCCCTTCCTGGGACTCAGCTCTTGGACTTCTGCTCCGTGAGCAATCTTGGGGACTGAGCGTGGGGCTCAGAGGCAGGTCTGCGCAGAGGAAAGAATGGGCGGTGCTGCAGCCCTGTCTGACCCTCCGTGATTTCTCTGTAGGAAGTATGGAAGGAGACTTGTTTGTTGCATGCTTAGTTTACTCATGTATCATTGAGGTCAGTGGTAGGATACACAGTTTATGGATGGGCCTGAGGCTCAAATATTGCACTTTCTGAAGTTCACACAGGCAGTTGGTGGCAGATGTGGGATTTGAATCTGTTTGCTTTCAGAGCCCTGCCTTCCTTATACCAGAATGTGCTGCTTCCCTTCAGCCCTTTTGCTGGGCATCAGCACCTCCTATTGCGAGTTTTCTACTGTGATGTGTTCAGGCCCCAGCTCTGTCCTATCCATGGTCCCCAGGAGAGCTGGATTTGACCTTTCTTCAGCTTGTGCAGAGGGCTTTGTCTCTTTGTCTGGGATGAGTCATCAGGGTTTGCTCCTTTTCTCTGGAATAGGACTTCAAGGTTACAAACCTGATGTCATCTCCAGGCTGGAGCAGGGGGAGGAGCCGTGGACCCCACACTCACTGAGAATTGTGGGGAGCTGGAGCTGGAGGCACAAGAGTGAAGGTGAGTCTGCCCCCCCACTCTCTCCTGCTGGCAGGGCCCGCAGCTTCCCCAGGCCTGTCTCTGCAAGCTCTCTTGTCACCCCCAGGGCTTTCTTTCCCTTCTCCATTGTCTTTCCTCTCCTCTTTTCTCATTGTTAATGGCCTCTATTATCTGTCTATTAATGGGTTCATGTTTTCCTTACCCTAGAATATGCTCTCTCAATCCCAGAATAGAGCGCAAGTGTCTTTCCCTGGCAGCTGGCTCCCAGTCCCCTCATTTTCATGTCATATGCTCTTTCTCAGGCCTTGCTGGCTAGCTCTGCCTTGGCTGCTTGGGAACTCCACTTGGAGAGATATCCTCCTGCCAAGTCTGTCCGTCCTGCCAAATCTCACTCCCACCATTATTCACTCAGAGTGTCCTAAGCTGATTCCGGGCCTTGGGGACTCTGACGAGTTAGAAAGGGTTTTTTCCTCGGTCGTGAGGGGACCTGTGCATGTGAATGGTGAGCAGAATTCTGGTGCTCTGTGCTGCTACACAGCTCACACTGACTGGTCATTTGTCTCAGTGCATGCCTGGCACTCTGCTGGCACAATCCACCAGTACTGCTGCAGAGTCATTGCTCAGGAAACTGAGGAACAGGAAGGGTAAGTTGTTGGCCTGAGATTGCACAGCTGGCCAGGGACAGAGCAGGATTGGATCCCTGGCAAACTGGCTCCAGACCCCATACTCATTTATTTTTTGTCTTTAAAGAAACAGATTCATTAAGGTATAACTAGCATAAAGTATGCTACAGGTATTTAAAGTGTGTGATTTTAGGTATTTTGGCATATGGATATGCATATGAAATAAACATATCCATGACCTACAGAAGTTTTCTGATGTCCTTCTGTAGTCCTTCCTGCCTGTATCCTGATCTGTAAAGTGTGTGATTTTAGGTATTTTGGCATATGGATATGCATATGAAATAAACATAGCCATGACCTACAGAAGTTTTCTGATGTCCTTCTGTAGTCCTTCCTGCCTGTATCCTGATCTGCTTTCTGTCATATAGATTATACTTTCTACATTTCTAGAATGGAATCATAGAGCATACACTGTTTTGTCTGACTTCTTTTACTCACGTAATTATTCTGAGGTTCATCTATGTTGTATATCAATAATTAATTTCCTTTTATTATTATAATTATTGTTTTGGTGCTGGTTGGTACAGGAAGCTTTCTGTCATATAGATTATACTTTCTACATTTCTAGAATGGAATCATAGAGCATACACTGTTTTGTCTGACTTCTTTTACTCACGTAATTATTCTGAGGTTCATCTATGTTGTATATCAATAATTAATTTCCTTTTATTATTATAATTATTGTTTTGGTGCTGGTTGGTACAGGAATCTGAACACCTTGACCTCTCTTTTTATTTTCGATTAGTATTCTGTTATATGAGCATATTACCACTTGTTTATCCATTCTCTGTTAATGGACATTTGGGTTGTTTCCAGTTTTGGTTAACACAAGTAAAGCTGCTGTAAGCATCTGTACAGAAATCTTTATATGGTCATAGATTTCCTTTTCTCTTGGGGAAATACCTATGAGGGGAATGTCTGAATTACATGTTAGGTGTATATTTAACTTTTTAAAAAACTGCCAGACTGATTTCAGAATGATTTTCAGAATAATTTTACCTTCCCACTAGCAGTGTATGAGAATTCCACTTCCCCCACATTCTCACCAGCACTTGGTGTGGTTATTCTTTTTAATTTTGTCCACTCTCCAGGATCTTGTAGAAGGGGAGATCAGCATGACCTCCCATGGGTGTTCACGGGAGATGGTGCCACACATACACAGAACTTCCCAGGCCAGCACCCACCACATCAGACCCACTGAGTGAGCCCCCGTGTTGCATGGGATTGTGGTGTCTGTGTGGCACAGAGGAGAATCTGTGTTACCCAGAGTAGTGGTAGGCAGGTTAACAGAAGATGTCTCTGCGATCAGTAACCACCAGAAAACACAGCTTCTGGAGGGCTGCTTGGATCTGGTTACTGAAATGACACTTCCAGGAGTGAAGTGTCCAGTGATAGCAGTGGCTCCTGTGGCAGCAGCAAACATGAACCTAGCCTGCTGACCAGGACTGCTGGAGGACATGACACTGACATCAGCTGGGTCTTCAGTGGCAGTCAAGCTTCTCCCAGGTCTTCTGCAGATTTACGATGTAGATGCCGTCACTTTTGCTTTTGTAGATGTACTGTTCCATTGGAAGAAGTCACGGTGGGTTCACAAGATTGCACCTAAGTGGGATCCTGCTGCAAGGAATTTGAGGACATCGAGGGCTCCAGACATTGTGAAAGTTTCCCTCTAAATTATGACAAGAATCCAAGACAGTGTTGTGTGGACCTTTCTCTGGGTAGCACAGAAAGCTGAATGAGTTATTTCTAATCTTCATGTAATCTACGAGGATGAAATTTAACAGAAGCATTAATTTCCCTATTTCACAAGTGAGGAGGCTGATGATCTGGGAGATTAGTCAGTTGCACACAGCTGGGGAGTGGCTGAGGCTTGGACCAGGGCTGTTTGGCTTCAGAGTCTGTTGTTTCTTCTGCACCCCCTGAGACTAGCGTGGACTTTGTCATTCCACCCAGTTGCGGGGATATTCACATTCCTGCAGCTGATCGTTGGACGTTCTCCTTCTGATGAACTTGTGTCCTGTGCTTTTGCTTCCATTTCCTGAAGAAGAGGCCTGGGATGGAGTGGGTGTTTGCTGGTCTTTGGCTTCATGCTGGGCAGGAGAAGGGGCCTGAGAGGGAGCTGAGAGCAGGAGGGAAGGGGGTTGCAAGGACAAGGACGCCCAGGTGGGAGAGTTTGTCAAGAACAGGCTGGTCAGTTGGATATGGAATGCGTGTGATTTTAAACAAGTGATCGAGTGTCAGGCACTCATCAAGGCTCTAGATCGTGAACAAATGATGAGCAAGTTAGGCAGCGTTCTCGCTTCTCTTGGTGCCTTTAGTGTGCAGGGGAATAGAGACCTGAACAGAGAAATGTGAGTTCAGGGGCAAGTAAGCTGGGCCATTTCTTAATGGGTTGTTTGGCTTTTTGCTATGAGTAGTAGGAGTTCCATATACAGTTTGGATATTAACCCTGTCTTAGTCCATTCAGGCTGCTGATATAACAAATCACTACAGACTGGGAGGCTTACAAACAGTAGAAATTTATTCTTCACAGCTCTGGAGGCCAGAAGTTAGGGTTAGGGTTAGGGTGCCAGCATGGTTGGGTTTTGGTGAGGGTGCTCTTCTGAGTTTCAAACTGCCAGCTTCTTGCTGTATCCTCAAGTGGCGGAAGGGGTGAGGGTCTTTTGTAAGGGCACTAATCACATTTATGAGGGCTTCGCCTTGTAACCTAATCACCTCTGAAAGGCCCCACCTGCTAAAACTGTCACCTTGGGGGTTAGGATTTCAACGTATGAATTTTGAGGGGACTCAAATATTCAAGCCATAGCAAATGCCTTAACAGATACATGGTTTGTATATATTTTCTCCTCTTCCATAGGCTGCCTTCACTCTGTTGATTGTCTCCTTTCTGTGCAAAAGCTTTTTAGTTTGATGTGCTCCCACTTGTCCATTGTGCTTTAAGGTTATATGCAGAAATTATCGCCAAGACCAATGCTAGGAAGCTTTCATCCTATGTTTTCTTTTAGGAGTTTTATGGTTTCTGGTTTTATGCTTAAGTCTTTAATCCATTTTGAGTTGATTTTGCTTATGGTGTAGGATAAAGGTTCAGTTTTATTCTTATGTGCATGGATATCCCGTTTTTTCCAATACTATCTGCTGAAAAGAGTCTACTTTTCCCATTTCATAGTCTTGGCATCTTTTTTTTTTCCCTTCCTTTTTGTCTTTTTTTACTGACCGGTAACGGGATCTCAACCCTCGGTGTTGTGCCCGCACCGTGCTCAGCCAGTGAGCAGGAACTGGTCTCCACATGGGATCCGAACCCTCGGCGGGAGTGCCGCCGTGCTCCCAAGTGGCGCACTCTGCAGTGCGCCACCGGGCCGGCCCTTGGCATCTTTTTTGAAGATCATTTGCTGCATACTGTCATGTGTCCCTTGACAGGGATATGTTCTGAGAAATGCATCCTTCGGTAATTATATCATTGTGTGAACGCCATAGAGTGTACTTGCACGAACCTGGATGGCGTAGCCTACTGCACAGCTAGTCTGTGTGGTATGGCCTGTTGCTCCTGCGTGAGTGATGTGTTGCACTACCATGCTGACAGCTGTGACGTCACTAGGTGATAGGAATTTTCAGCCCCATTGTAAACTTATGGGACCACTGCTGTATATGTGGCCTGTTGTTGACTGAAACATCATTGTGCACTGCATGACTGCATTTGTGGGTCTATTTCTGGGCTCTGTATTCTTTTCCATTGGTCTCATGTCTGTCTGTACGCCAGCATCGCACTGTTGACTACTGCTGCTCTGCAGTATGTTTTGAAACTAGGAATCGTGAGGCCTCCAACTTTGTTCTTTCTCAAGGTTGTGTTGGCTATTCAGGGTCTCTTGTGGTTCCATATGGATTTTTGGGTTATTTTTTCAATTTCTGTAAAAAAAAAAAAAAAAAAAAGCTGTTGGGATTTTGTTAAGGATTGGATTGAATCTGTAGATAATTCCTTCAATTTTCTGGGAGAATTTGAAAAGGATTGAGAAGGAATAATTCTTCTTTAAATGTTTGGTAGAATTCACTAGTGAAGTCATCTGGTCCTGGGCTTTTTTTTTTTTTTTTGGGAGATTTGGGTTAGTGCTTCAGTCTCCTTACGGGGTATTGGTCTGTTCAGATTTTCTGTTTATTCATGATTCAGTCTTGGCAGGCTGAATTTCTGGGAATTTATCTGTTTTTTCTAGCTTATCCAATTTGTTTGTGTATAACTGTTAGTAGTTTCTTGTAATTCTTTTTTTTTTTTTGGGCTACTGGCTGGTATGAGGATCTGAACCTGTGACTGGTGTTACAGGGCTGCACTCTAACCAACTGAGCTAT